AAATATTATCAGTAAGATAATGGAGAGATGAAAAATCATGACATCGCCGACACAAAAAAAATAATAAAAAAATAAAAAAGAAAATGATAGATTTACATTTTTTAATTAGGAACTATTTACAAATTTTTTTAATTAGGTTATTTCTAAAATTGTCAGAATATATTTTATGTGCGATTTAATTCTTTCGTTATGGAATCACTATAGTGGCTATCATACATTATGCGTTCATTATAAAGTGCCACTATAGTAATTTGTACAAATATATTAATTTACGCGATAAAGTTATGCTTTTTAATTTTATACATTTAATTCCGCCGTGAAAAGATTTATAACAATTCTACGAGTAAAGTTTTCAAGTTTAATCGAGAATTTCCTCGTTTCTCTGCAAGGATTTGATAATAATATCAGTTGAAACAACAGAGTTAATATTCTTATATAAATAAATTAAATTAAAATATTTACAAACGCAATATATGTTCGAGTCTCGAAGAGGTCAATTCATTTTTTATGTAACATAAAAATTCTTGAATTGTTAAAATTATTGAGAACAATACTTTTATATATTTTCTGTGTATTTCTTAATTTCGTTTTTTCCAAGTTTTGTTTACTTTCGTTATATCACATACTTAATCTGACATTAATTATAAAACATAAGAAAGTTCCTCGATCAAATCATATGACTCTTTTCCTTTCAACATATCGTGCGGAAGCACACACAGTATATACGTTACTGTGACATATTTACAAATTCCAAGATTTATTAATACAACTAATAATAATAGTATTGGTCCAATCATTATTTCCACATTTCACCGAACAAAGCAAAATCCTTAAATACAAAGTTGAATTTCATAGAACTTGCCATTGCTGATGGAAAGTATCTTAGAAGTAAGACGAACTTTATTCTAAGTCAATGTTCAATCATATTTAAAGGAAAGGAAATTCTTACACAAGATTTCCTAAAACATTCATTAAAAAGTATGTCGCCAATGTACAAAGGTAAAATGATTTGCTGATCGCATGAACCATGATAATCTGTTCGGTCCATAGTTAATTAATATTGAGGGTTCGGTGAGTTTCTTTGGAAGTTACTCTGCACGCTTTGACTTTGCTGAAGAGGCCCGGCTGTACTCGATCTTCCCTGATCGCGGTATTGTGGAGGTCCGTTGGGTAGGCCTGGAGGTCCAGGTACCTTGCTGTAATTTCCTCGCGTGGAACTCTGGTAACTACCATACGCGGAATCATCACTGCGTCTCGACACATGGCCGTACATGCTCTCAGGCCGCCTGGGGGCCCCATTATCCGAATTGCTCGATAATGGTCCGTTTTGAAGTTGCTGCTGCTGCTGCTGCTGCTGCTGTTGTTGCTGTTGTTGCTGCTGTTGCGATGGAGGCTGCGGTGGCGGATGATTTTGTATCGAGGACTGGCCACTCTGCCCGGATTGCTGCGAATTTTGGCTGCTAGGCGGTGGTGCGGGTGCACGACCGTAGATGGTGGATCCAGTAGAAACTCCGTAAATACCGTTCTCCCGAGTGCTGAGACCCGTGGAGATCCCGCGGATACCGTAGATGCTCTGCGTACATTGTTGCAGTTGATTCTGCATGTTCTGATTGGTGCTATTGTGATTCTGTGCCGATTGGCTTGGTGGACCGCCGAGTGGCTGTCCGGACTGGGTCTCACGATTGCCATTCTGACCTAATCTGATTGGATACAGACTCTGCGCTGGCACCAGTGGGCCCGGTTTCGGGATCATCAAACCATCCCGCGGTCCCGACGTCGATTTCGCGTAAACGCTTTGCGAACGGTTCAGATTGGCGCGTGTCAACGGCGGTGATTTGCAGTAGAGCGACTTGGTACCACCGTAAATCGATTCGACACGCTCCAACGCGGATGGCGGTGCACTGTAGATCGACGAGGATGCGCCGGCGACTGGACGATAAGTCGCGTACGCGCTGGGGAACTTGGGCCCGTTCGGTTTGTCCAGATCATCGTATGTGTCTTCGTCGGATCTCATGGACGAATTGTCGCCGTCATCTAAATCGCGCGAATCCTTTGTCTTCCTGGAACTCAGGACGTATTCGTGCAGCAGAGCTGCTATAGCACCTCCCGACAGCGGGCCAACCCAATACACCCAGTGATTGTCCCAGCGATTCATCACGAACGCCGGACCCAACGCGCGGGCTGGATTCAAGAAAGGACTCTGAAAATTAAAAAAAAAGGATTAGCAATTGTATATAATCGCAACAGTGAGTTTTTAAGAATAATTCTTCTTTTTGTTAAATGTTTAAATACTTAAATATATTTTTGTTAAAAATTTTGGAGAATTATAAAATTACATATAATTTATATTTAAATATCTCTAACAAATTGTAAAATTTTATTTCACATATATTATATATGATATGTTCCATTTGTTTTTTTTCCGTAATACTAGACGTGACAATCGAACAAAAAAACATGCAAAGATACTTAGGAATTTCGCATTGAAAGCAATGTACTTGTTCGATTTTGCAAGGGGATCAACATTCAACACGTGTGGAACGTTGGTTTCGACATTTTTCGTTTTGGGGTGCATTGTACACTCGTTCCGGAGCAGGTGGGTCCAGGATCAAGTTCTTTCTTTCACCTCTCTGTTCTCCGTTCTCCACGAGCCCACCCTTCTCCCCCGTGCAACGGCAGGTGCTCTTTAAAGATGCGGACGTCGGCCGGATTGGAAAGAACCCGACAGACGCTTTTGGACAGAGAGTGGTTGCAAGAAACGACATGCATAGCGGAAGAAGAAAGCAGAGAATGCTGTTCTTTCATTATAATTACGCGTACGCTAGTAGAAAAGAAAATATCTTTTCCTTACAAGATGGATTATTTAATACAAGAATAATAACTTGTAAAAATTATTACAAACAAAGAATTATTTCGTTAATAATAATTTTGTGAAAATCTTATATTAAATATTAAATATAAGAATATAAAATATAATATAAAAGATTAAATTGTATTTTGCATCATTAACAACGAGAGACTTTTAATTACCACACTTTAATAATGTTATTATAAGTAAATTTAAAGAAGATATGTAAATAATTAGAGCAACCGAAACAACACATGTGATTATCTGTAATGACAATAATCATTACTTTAGACAATCTCTAAAAGTAATAATTAATTATCGATTTGATGGAAAAATTATTGCATCCATTATTTGTCCAAAATCGTTCTTTTTATTAAAACTATATAATTAAATGATTATAAAACATAAACTCACAAAAACGAGCGTAGCTGCTGTATAGGCTGCAGCTAAAACTGCGGAAGCTTTCGAAGAAATCATAGGTGGCAATGATCTAGGTGAGTCTACAGTGAAATGCGCTAGCACAATAAATACTGATAGTGCTATCTCGATTAGAAGCCTCTCAACTGGGCCTCCTAATCGACCAGGGGATGTCAGAGTCTGCGTGCTCGAAGGTGTAGTTACTCTGAAATCAAAAAAGAGATAAATATAATAAATATTGCTTATATATGTAGAAATTATTTAAGAGTTATTTGTCAATAACTGACTCATCTATTAATGAAACTTAAGTAATATTGTATCTTATTTGAATATAAAACTGATTACGATTAT